TGCAGTTGCTTAGTAGTTAGCAGGCGTGTCCGACTACTTTGTAGTCATGTATTTGAAAACTCTTTACCTTGAGAGTATTTTGCAAACTCTTGGTCTCTCACCATCTGTTAACCCAGACAGAAGGTCCTTGAGCTTAGGTCTTGTTCCAAAACTTGGACTTGCGTGCACACCCGTATTAAAGAACAGGCTTATTCGTATACAAACTGTTGTTCTCTGACGCAGGCAGATGTACTCCGTCTTCAAAGGGAACAGCCTGATTATTCCCCTTTTGCGACACGCTTTTTAGTGCTATATAGTTTCTCTGATGTTATCTTTCCATGTTTTTCTTCGTCTACCTCTTGCTATACGGTCCTCTCCTCTTTTGGCATGTGTCTTGTATGGTAAAGCATCAGAAGGCATTCTCTCCAGGTGGGCAATCCATTTGATTTGCTGTATTTGTATGTAATTTAGAATTAGTTCTATGCAGACCCTATCATGTATGACCTCATTCCTGATTTTGTCGCTTCTGGTCATTCTTATAATCTTTCTGAGACTCATTTCCATGATTACTAATGTATTTTTTTCATGTTTTGTTGTGAATTACTACATCTGTTACTGATAGCATAGGGTGGGCATAAATATGCTTTACATGAGGTGTTTCTTTGTGCTGACTGGGATTGCCTTATGCTGTAAGAGGAGAGCTAGCTGTGCCAACACTTAGCCTGCTTTACTGCATTGAATGTCAATTTCTTCGTCTAATGTACCATCTTTAGTGAATGTTGTTCCAAGATATTTAAACTCAGATGCCTGTTCAATATATGTCTGCTCTAATGCTATGTTTAAATCCTGCTACTTTCTTTCTAATGACTTTACTTCTGTCTTGTCTATGTTGATTCTCCCATTATTTGATTTACATTCTTCATTCATGGCTGTGAGATGCTATTGCATATTCATGGCTGTATCTGCAATCAAGGCCTGGTCATCAGAAAAAAGTAATTCGTTGATGTTACTATTATTTTCGTTCCTGGGCCTGGCATCCTGTCTTATACTGTCAATGTAGTTGCTAAACATTAGTGGTGATAAGACACACCCCTGTCTTATACTGTCAATGTAGTTGCTAAACATTAGTGGTGATAAGACACATCCCTGTCTTATACTGTCAATGCAGTTGCTAAACATTAGTGGTGATAAGACACATCCCTGTCTTATACTGTCAATGTAGTTGCTAAACATTAGTGGTGATAAGACACACCCCTGTCTTATACTGTCTATGTAGTTGCTAAACATTAGTGTTGATAAGACACATCCCTGTCTTATACTGTCAATGTAGTTGCTAAACATTAGTGCTGATATGACACATCCCTGTCTTATACTGTCAATGTAGTTGCTAAACATTAGTGGAGATAAGAAACATCCCTGTCTTATACTGTCATTGTAGTTGCTAAACATTAGTGGTGATAAGACACATCCCTGTATTACTACAGATGTTACTTTAAATGGTTTAGATATTCCCTGATTTATCCTAACTACTCTTCTACAATCGCTATATAAGCTCTTGTAAACTAAGAGTTAAAAAGTTAAAAATAACAGATCACTGATCTGTAAACAAATTGATTGCACAATCTTGCCAAAAGATAAGCTTCCAGACCACAGATACACACAAACCGTTCATCTGGGCCTGACTGGTGACGTCACACTGTATAAACATGGTCTTGTGAAGGCCGTAGATCTTCCTCAGCTCTGACACGGCTCGCGTGCCCTGATCCTTGTTTAGGTCTGTGAGTACCACCTGGGTCAATCAGACAAACAAACACACTGATAGAACGTATACCTGTTTTTGAATTTATATAATAAAAGCAATGTCCTCAGATATTTGGGTACATGTAACGAACTCGGGCCCAGCTACTCACTTTTTAGTGACGAAGTCGAGCTAGGACACTCTGATTGGACGCGCAAGTGTGGCATGGGTGTTAGCTTGGCGCGCTAGATTGCATTCCGCCTTACCGGCCACCACGTGTGCTCTATATAACAGGATGTGCGCGCTTTTAATGACCCTATAACATGTACAACTGGCCCTAACCCCAACCCTCCATACCCCACACACTAAGCCTAGGCCCCACGAGAGTGCATTCTTCGTCCCGTGGTTTCAGACTTCTTAACATGTTTCGGTGGCCCGCAAAACGCTTCGGGAGATGAATGTAGACTAGTCATGTCCATGATTTGTGCCAGTCAGCAGTGTTCCAGATTCTTACACACAGTGCATGATGTATTGACACTGGCATTTTCACCTGCTTAACTCTGCTGGTATGTCGTCACATCCTGGAGAATTCCCCCCCCCCCCCTTTTTTTTTTTTTTTTTTTTTTTTTTTTTTTTGTTAAATTTCTGTGTTGCTGCTCCTAACTCAGCAGGCAGTTTCAATCAGCTTTCTTTAAAAATTATGTCAGACTACGACGAACTAATTTAAATTTTTAGTTCAGCGAGATTTTGCGAGCACGTTTACTGTCGCGTCATTCAATAGTTTCCGAAAACTTGTATCAGTACGGTTAGGGATTATAGCAGTAGAAGTATGGAGTTTATGCGGTTGTGTTTATTCACTTAAGGGATAATATAGTCGAAGATATAAAGATGTTAGCGATAGGAAGATGTTCTATGGATCGTTTCAACAGAGGTGTGATATGTTAGAAAGTTGAGTTTAGGGATTAAATCATCAGAGCTATAAAGCAGTTCGAAAGTTGAGTTTAGGTATTACATCAGTAGAGATATAAAACAGTTAAAAAGTTGAGTTTAGGGGTTACATCAGTAGAGATATAAAGCAGTTTTAAAAGTTGAGTTTATGTATTAAATTAGTAGAGCTATGAAGCAGTTAGAAAGTTGAGTTTAGGGTTTAATCAGTATTTATATGAAGCAGTTAGAATACTGAGTTTGTGGAATGAATCAGCAGAGATGTAAAGCAGTTAGAAAGTTGAGTTTAGGAATTAAATCAGCAGAGATTTTATGTTGTTAGAAAGTTCGTTCAAGACCATTCAGAAGAGATATAGTATTGGAAACACTGAGTTCAGGGACTAAATCTGCATAGTTAGGAAGTTGTTACAAAGGGGAGTTTAGGAATCACATCAACAGAGATACAATTTATTAGAAATATAAGAAGGAGACAGTAGTCCTTTTTTCAGGCAATAACAGAAGGGAACTGGAACGTGTTACGACAACTGGAAAGATCTGTGGACAGAGAGACAGAGGCGACAACCTGACAACATTGTTTCATTTGTATAGAGGGGTGACAGCGCATTAACTGACAATGCTATTAGGGATTGCAGGTCGTAGGGAAATTGATCGAACACGCCAGTCGGCAAGGAAAGGCTCTTGATGATGATAATGATTGGGTGAAAAACAGAATGTCCATCACAGTCCCTTGTGAAAAAAAAAAAACAGACACTGACTGGAGTCTTATCAAATCCAACAGCATACATGCGCATTTAGTGTATACAGCAGCAGTTAGGAGTGCCGCTAGAAATACAGTTAATCTTTGATAAAAGCAACAGGTATAACAGATCCGTAGTTGCACATGCAATTAACTGCATAAAGAACTACAAGTTATCTGGCAAAAGGCCACTCGCCATTTTGTAATCTACAGTTGACAACACATGCCAGGTTGGGCACAGTCGAAAAGCATTCCAAACGACTTCCGCAGCTCACAGTGTCGCGGCACAACTCAGTAACTGGGTGACGGAACTTCTTCACGTTACTACTCTGATCATGGATTGTAAACTAACTTCTCAAGCTAGGACAACCGAAATGTGTGCTGCAACTACATTGTTTGCCCAAATTAGACCACATATAGTCGATTTTGCTCTAACGGGTATTTCCGCCTAATTTGTTTACTAAATGTCCCATCTTTCATCTGCCCAAAAAAAAATGCACTATTTTAGTACCAAAAAATATACCTTTAAATGCACAGATCTTTATGTATTTAAATGTTTATAATTTCATTAATTTACCACTCATTACATCCGTCGTTTTTTATGCGAACAGACAAAATCGGTCCATCTGGTTTATATTTGGTGTAGAGTTCATATTATGAGCAGCCTTAAAGAACATGTTGGGATTTATGGCTGAGTTAGGTCTTATTTTTAAGAAAACACGGTTGCATATGCTGGATTCGGCAACACCAGGCTGGGACAGAAAAAGTTAATATTACCAGGGAAATATATCTCTGCGACTTCGCTTCCATTTCTCCGCCCACTCCCCTAACAAATGCATACTTAATAACAGTATGTAGCATTATTTTATAGCTCTGCGCACTTTGTGCTGGGATGGGCGGATGTGCACATTGTGTGAGGTACTAGGGCTAACGCCCATTTGGTTAGTTGCTCGGAGTTAGGTTGTTTTATAAGTGTGTATTTTTGTTTCTCCATATTTTTTCGGCAGATGTTTTCTGTTTTTCAGATGGTGATTAGGTTAGTTAAATATAGTCCCAGCTTCTCCGTTAGTTAGATGCTTATTCTTTACATAATGTTGTTAACTTCTTTTTCTTCTTCTTCTTACTCTTTTTCTTCTTCTTCTTCTTCTTCTTCTTCTTCTTCTTCTTCTTCTTCTTCTTCTTCTTCTTCTTCTTCTTCTTCTTCTTCTTCTTCTTCTTCTTCTTCTTCTTCTTCTTCTTCTTCTTCTTCTTCATAATCATCTTCTTCTTCTCCTTCTTCTTCTTCTTCTTCTTCTTCTTCTTCTTCTTCTTCTTCTTCTTCTTCTTCTTCTTCTTCTTCTTCTTCTTCTTCTTCTTCTTCTTCTTCGGCTTCTTCCTCTTCATCATCTTCTTCTTCCCTCTCCTATTTTTCTTCTTCGTCTGTATTATTATGATTCTTCTGCGTTCGCTATTAAAAGGGCAGTTGACCCGTTGTGGTTTACAGACAGGCTAGATATCTACGTTTTCGTCTCAAAAAATATAATTAAATAGTAGCTTTTAAAGACCTGTTTGTTAAGTGACTACGTCTATTCTCTCCCCCCCCCCCCTTTTTTTTGCCCTGCCCCCTTGCTCCCTCCCCTCGCCCTACCTCCACTCTGTCACAGTTAGTATAAGACAGCACATGAACAAATATTGACTTATAGTGTAATAAAATCATCATCATGTAGCAGGTGCTTTGCAGAACGTCGCTCTTATCACGTTCTGCCTGAAAGAAACTCGGTCTCATGCACTTTCATACTCAAGGAGTCATTTATATCCTGTGCCCATCTTCGTGTTGGTCTGTTCCTGCCCCTCCTTCCTGGTACCATGCCTTCTGCATTTTTTCCAATCCGTCATGGCGCTTGATATTACCAAAAATAATCAAAAGCCCCTATTCTTTTTCTTAAGGACTGGGAGATAGTCCATGACTCACATCCGTATGGGAAGATGCATGCTCTCAAAATTCTAATTTTGATCTCCTTGCTGGTGCTTAACCATAATTTGTTTAGGCTGTTTAATCTTTCCATTGCTATGGCCATCCTCCTTTTCATTTCTGTCGAACAGTCCCCATTGTTGTTTATTATAGAGCCTAGATATTCAAAGTTTGTGACATTTTCAATTTCTTCACCATTTATTGTTATTTTTGGGTGACAGCCAGTTTTATCTGTGGACATTTTTTCAGTTTTCTTTACATTCAAGAACAGGTTATGATCTTCACTGTGCTTTTGACAGACAATATTTAATTTCCTATTCCCTTTACGCTGTTCGAAAGGAGGACTGTGTCATCTGCGTAGCGGAGTTCCGGAATAGGGTTGCCACCCATTCTGAGCTGTTCATAACTGTCACAAGTCTGGTCATTTTTGACATTTCTCAAATATATTTTCTGCTTATAAATTGAATAAGTATGGTGAGAGAATGCACCCCTGCCTCACTCCCATTTGCACCTCGAACCAATCCGATGTTTCACCAGCTGCTCTGATGGCTGCTTGCTGTTCTTGAACAAGATTTTCAATTAAATGCACCAAATACACTGGAAACCCCATACTTCTCATAATAGTATTTAGTTTCTGATGTTGGACACAATCAAATGTCTTGCTATAATCAATGAAACAAGCGTAAAGATCTACGTTGTATTCTCTGCATTTTTCAAAAATTATTTTTATATTAAAGATGTGATTCCCTAGTTCCTCTACCCTGTCTGAAACCCGCTTGTGCTTCATGTAGCTCAAATTGTAATTTCCTTTCAATCTTCTTAATAATTCGTAAGAGGATTTTGCTAGCATGACTTATTAATGTGATGGTACGGTAGCTGGTGCATAGTTTAAGATGTCTTTTTTTTTTTTTTGGGGGGGGGGGGGAGAGTGGGTATAGACTGTTCTTTTCCACGCTTTAGGCCAAATGCCACTGTTCCAGATCTTCGGGCACAGTGCATGATAGATTCGGACGCTGGTCTCTTTTCCTGCTTGAATTCGTTCTGCTGGTATTTCGTTGCAACCTGATGACTGTCCTTTCTTCAGGCTGTGTATTGCTGATCGTACCTCATCCAGTAAAGGCTCTGATTCTTTTTCATAACTTTCATAAGTTGTTTTTGGATTACTTGTCACAGTCTAATACATTTCTCTACAGTATTCTATCCATCTTTCTAATGTCTTTGGTTTCTGTTAATGTGTTACCGTTTTTATCATTTATTCCATTAAAAAAAGGTCTGATTTCGCCTTTCAATGTTTTTATTTCTTTAAACATGTCTTTGTCTCTTCCTTGCATTTGGAGTTGTTCAATTCTATTAAAGGTATTTAAAATAAACTGTTTTTATCTTCTCTGATAGCTTTTCTGATTTCTCTTGTGTAGTTCCTATTTGTTTCTGTCCCTACTCGCTTTAAATTTCTTATTTCTTCTGCAAGCGTGAAAGTTTGTTTCTGTAATGTAAATCTGTTTCAGTACAGTACAAAATATTAGCTCTACAATTTGGATTTACAAATCTATATAAATTGTAGTATAAGGCAGTACAACACCAAAAATATTGACTTTATAAAATCGTATCACCTGCAGTATAAAATTGTACAACACCCAAAATACTGACTTTATGAAACTATTTGATCTGTTCTATATATAAGACAGTAAACACCAACAATACTGACTTGATGAAATTGTAATATCTGTACTATATAAAGACAGCACAACACCTTAAATATTGACTTCATGAAACTATGTAATTCTGACTATAAATAAAATAAAGGGACCTTTCCAACGCCTTCAAGCGTATTGGGCACATAGGGCTAGACCTTTATTTCACAAGACAGTCGGCATATGAGAGCTGCTTTCACTTCTCAGGTCTTGACTTGGAACCCGTTTAGGGCTGGGTCGACCTGGCAGCCAACCCAATCAGGACCCGAACCCACGACCTCCTGATCTACAGGCGGGCGTCTAGCTGCTCCACCACGGTGGTTTGCGTAAAATATATATATAATGTAGTATAAAATAGTCTACTGACCTTTGCGCCGTTGCGTAGCAACATTTCACAGAACTCTCGACCAAGCCCCTGGGCGGCACCCGTTACTATAGCGACCTTGTCTTTGATACTCATGCCGCTAGAGTGTTATCAGCTGCTGGCTGTTTTAAACAAAACTAGACTTTAGAATGCAGAGAAGGGTCAACAATCATTAACTGGTTCCTGTGCGGAGTTAAATAAATTACATGGCATGACAGAACCACTAATGCTGAGTTGAGAGAGAAAGAGAGAGAGAGAGAGAGAGAGAGAGAGAGAGAGAGAGAGAGAGAGAGAGAGAGAGAGAGAGAGAGAGAGAGAGCATGCATTGCAAATCAAAAGTGCCTGCGCAAAGAAAACATCGGTATGGGAAGGACCTAGCTGTCCCCTTTTAAATTTGCTTGGGGAGGGGGGGGGGAACTCAGTGGATCTAAGTCTTGTTTAAATGTGCAGTAGCAGTATTAATATATTGTGATGAATGGCAAATAAATAGAAAAATATATTCGAAATAACTATGAAGTGTGTCACGGGCTTCAAACAAATCCTTTTTTTTTTCGATGCTTCGATTCGTGTTTTTAAAAAAAAAATCCTTTCTTTGCGTGCGTATCCAGTCATGCAGCAGCTAATGTAACTCTTTAATCGGACCGAAAGTCTTTGCTCCGTCAGACTCTTTGAGTTGTCCAAACAGGTGTAAAAGGTTTGGGCTAGGTCTGGCCAGTACGAGAGATATAGCACACACTAAAAGTAGAGGTCTTCGATGGTTTCAGTCGTTGCACAGGCAGTATGGGGTCGAGCATCGTGAGGTGAGAAATAACACTTTTACTTAGAATGGGTACCAGGATGGGCTGTCCTGGGAAAGTAAAGACAGCCGGCGTAATGCTGACCACATTACCCACCGAGTGCTGATGGTCTGTAAAAATATGGGACGCTCTGCCCATTTGCCCGATGCGCCGATAGGCGTGAAAAGGGATCTATACTTAACTTTACTATGTTGTTTGGATTTGATTGCGGGTAGGAGATGACTCATGAGAGGATCTGTAGATGCGCGCTGTTTCCTCTTGGTATGTAAGTTGGTTGCGTATTCTTTACAGGACGTTGCAGAACCAGCCCCAGCATGTTTTAGCTGTTGTGGTGTTTTTTTTTTTTTTTTTTTTTCTAGGCAAATTTTACGTTCATTAGTCTATACTGCATCCTGCACAGTCAGCTATCAGTACCACTGTCGAAACGAACGCAAGACAAACTGTGAACAGCTAGGATCGAACCCAGCACCCGGACATTACGAAGCACGCTCGAAATGCCTAAGCCACAGACGCATAAAGTGCTGTAAAATAACGCATCTTTCTTCTCAAAATAGTCAACAGAGCCGTCGCTGCAGAGGGCTGAGGGCGAAACTTCTTTCGCAGAATAGGGGGTGGGGGGGAATTGCGACAATACTTGCTCACTTTTACGTTTCCTGTTAATGGTAGTCAACTACGTCGCCCATTGGCTCGCCGGTAGACAACTTCGTCGCCGGTCGGGACAGTATGTGGGTCAGCATCCTTTGATAACATCTACTCTGCAGGGGTCCTTTTCGGGGTGGTGTGCAGTACTAAGCCATTTTATATGGCGCATATAACTTAGTCACAATTATAACCTATAGCTACCCCTTACGGGGATGCTGGTTTTTAGCAAAGCAATGGAACAGAACTTCATAGCATCGCAGCAGTTATTAGCAAGCATCAATGCGTGGTTGTTTCAGGTCTGGAGTAAACTGCTGTAACAGCCGTCGTGCAGACACTTCGAGGGGTTGTAGAACACCATGGATGACGTGCTGGGCTCGGCATTGGCTGATGTCAAGAAGTGCGCAAATATCACCAAAAGTCAATCGACGGGTTTCTTTTGTGAGGCCTTGGACGGCAGCAATCGACACTGGGGGGGGGGGGGGTCAATATTCGGTGTACGGCCGTCAACAGTCTGCCCCAGAAGTCCTGCCGTTTTAAAACTCCCTGTTCCACTCACACACTTGCTGGGCAGACAGACGACATACATTACCATGCTGGGCCTTCATTCACAGATAGATTTCTGTAGGTTTTACCCTGCACTTATGTGTGTTTTTTAAGCAACTGTTAACAGAACGATGCTCCTCTTTGGTGCATATCAGAAGTGGGGCGGCTTTAAACTGTCATTATGATGTTACCGTGTTTGTCTACACTGTGATGTCACGTGCTAATCACTCTTGACATCCCTGACAACAATACTGAAAGGTTTTAGGATGATGGTATGTTTATTGTAATTTCTATCATTCTTTTCATGTTTTTATTTGAAGCCCATTTGTATGCCAAAATACTTGAAACTGAAAAGAGAACTTTTATACGGATGTGAAATTTTCTTAAACTATGGGGGGGGGGGGCAGCCCTTCTATAAAACTGAAGGCGGAAGGGGTTGAGTACACTTAATTTGGCGCCTCTGAATAGAACAGGCAGTAAAGATAAGATACAGCCCTAAAATAAACATACAAGGAAAAGATAATTAGACAGGAATTATGAGAAAATGAAATGAGTTTGCAGGGAATGGTATAAGATAGGACGAGTTGAGGGGGAGAGTCTGTTGAAGGGCTATGTTCCATTAGGGTATTCAGACCAGAGTCACAAAGGAGAGTAAATTCAAGTAAATTAGCGGGGCTGGTACAGAAGTTAGGATGTCCATCTTTAGCTCAAGCAGATTTGAATGAGGTTCAACTCCACCAGGACCGCACAACCAGTAATTAACACCCGGTGACACAAAGTGTCATCATTCAGATGAGAACCCCCCAGGGGCCAGCCCCAGAAACTTTGTTCAACCTTAAGGTTATGTTGGGGCCCTGACAACAGCCGTGGGGTGGCTTTAAAATAATATCCTCAATAGGCGTTCTAATTAGGGCACCGGTGACAGAGGTCAGCGTCGCTCTAGTTTACTATCCTGCCCAGAGAGGATATGGACGACAGTGCATTTATTGTCGCTGTTTCACCATTTGATATCCTCCCCTTAATCTAAGACACAAGAATTTTAACTCGGCCAACAAATACCTGCATAAGCCAGATGTGTCGGCCGAAAGGCACAAATATCGCAGCCGTGATGTCAATATGCACATCATGCAAATACATCTTCGGATGAACGCAAAAGAAGCTTTGAAAAATTACTTACTAACTGGGATGCAAAGGCGGCCGGTGTGATGTTGACCACATCAGCCATCGAATGCAGATCTGTCTACACAAATATCAGTCTAGTACCATTTGCCCGATGCGCCACTGGTGTGAGAGGGTCCTTTACTTACTTACTAGTCATTCAGTCAGTCGAACGGTTAGTCAGGCAGTCAGTCAGGCAATCAATCGATTAGTCAGTTAGTCAGTCAGTCAGTCACTCAGTCAGTCAGTCAGTCAGACAATCAATCGATTAATCAGTCAATCAATCAATCAGTCTGTCACGCAGTCTGTCAGTTAGGCAATCAATCGATTAGTCAGACAATAAGCCAGTCAATCACTCACTCAGTCAGTCAGACAGGCAATCAATCGATTAGTCAGTTAGTTAGTCAATCAGTCACTCACTAGGTCAGTCAGTCGGGCAATCAATCGATTAGTCAGTTGGTCAGTCAGTCAATCAATCAGTTAATCAGTCAATTAGTCAGTCAGTCAATCAACTAATTTTTTAGTCAATCAGTCAGTCACTCACTCAGTCAGTCAATCACGCAATCAATCGATTAGTCAGTTAGTCAGTCAGTCAGTTAATCAGTCAATCAATAAATTAGTCAGTCAATCAATAAGTCGGTCAATCATTCCTTCGTGTGTGTTTAGTTGCATTGTGTGTAATTCCCTAACTTTATGTAAACTTTACTTTCCTCGTTCTTTTTATTTTCTTTCGTCCTTTCCCGCCCACAACAGCTAAAGTGGCATATTTTTTTATGTTACGTTTTGCTGCTTGGTTTACGTTCTCTGGGGAAAGCCAGCACGAGGCGGGAAGCTGCAAAAAAGTTGGCCTTCTTAATTAAGTGCGCCATGTTCTGTGCGAGCAAGGTGGTAATTTAGCTAACCTAATTTGTATGCATACAGTAAAATTCGGAAAGTCAAGGTGTATTCTTGTGCACGTAAAAAAAAAAAATCTCTTGGCAGTTGGAAATCGAAAAGAGTAGCCTAACGGCGTTGCCCTGGCAAAATTTGGAGTCAAAAATCTAACCAAAGTATTTCCGGATTCTCGCCGGTTTCACAGGATTGAGTTAGAAGTAGAACGAAGCACTGGGTTACTACTCTTGTGTCATGATGTTGATCCGTTGTTCAAACGATCAAACCATCGGAAAGTCAGGATCCTAGAAATATGAACTTAAGGACCGTCTTCTTACAGCTGTTTGTTATATTTTTATAAAATATTTCTACTTACTTGGGATATTAGTGGCCACACCTCCCCACCCACACCCCAATCAAGTTCCCACGCTCATGCTTGAAGGTAAACGTTATTTTTTTTTTTTTTTTTTTTATCCCTACATGGTATTCTTTATTTTCAGCTGACGTCAACTTTAAAAATAAAATATGAATGTAAAACTTTTGTTTCGCTGGTTCTCTGTTTGGTTTTCACGCGCTGGCAGAAAGCCAGGTTTCCAGTAAAGCTGCCAAAAGTTAGGCTTCTTAATTTTCCGCCTGCCTGGCATATGGCTGGTAAGGTCATAATTTACGTTAACTTAATTATATTTCCTAAGTTTAAAATGATAAAATTTCTGCGTTCCAGAAATCCGAACTACATATAGATTAGGAATGGTATGTCTGTTGTTTTGTAAGATGGGATTTCTTCTTCGTTTTGTTATTCTTGTTCTTGTTTGTTTTCTTTGTCTTGCTCTTGCTTCTTCTTTTTTCTGTTTCTTTTTCTTCTTCTTTTTCTTCTTTTCTTCATCTTCTTCTTCTTCTTCTTCTTCTTCTTCTTCTTCTTCTTCTTCTTCTTTTCTTCTTCTTCTTCTTCTTCTTCTTCTTCTTCTTCTTCTCTTCCTCCTCCCCCTCCTAATTCTTGTTCTTCTTCTTCAACTACTTATTCTTCTTGTTTTTCTGGTTCTTCTTATCCTACTCCCCCCCCCCTCTTCTTCTTCTTCCCTATTATTA